CAACAAAAGCCTACCTAAGGAGAACATTTATCTAGAGAATACCAGAAAACAATAACTACACCTCTTTATATCTAAAACCACCCGCTGAGCTTGTCGTGCACTGGGTACCATGCAGAAACTTTACAAAGAAATATGATTTACAAATAAACAAATTTCTCCAAACTCATAAATACTGAGTGGCTAGAAAATTAAGAGTTGAAGAAAACTCAAGTATATATTTCAGGTTAATACCTGGCTTGGTTTGTAATCAATAAGAAGTGGTTACAACCTGCAGATTTTTGTCTGATTATGAGTTTCTTCCAAATAAGAAAATGATCCATTTGGTTTGATTCCATGACAATGTAAAGCAGAAGCCAATTCATTTTGATTGTCTCCACAGGCAAACGTTGGTGAATCTTATGGCAGATGAGAACCTACAGTTCTGGTCACAAGTAGGTTTACATAAACTCACAACAACTTTCATATTTATTTTGGTTTTTTGTTGTACATTTCAACAGTTTTTTTTTATGCTTAATTTGTGTTACAGCAACCCACTATATTGAATTTTAAAACAAGAATTCTGACTGCACGTTTGCTTAAATCAAATATATGTTTATAATTATAAATATTAAAGATACAAATTCAAATATAAACATAAATCTCTGATACAGTTTAGTTAAAACTCCCTTGGCTAGTCACACGCTGATGACTTTTGGTGGACAACAGTAAAGATTTTCAGAATTTTGGTTCAAAACTGATAGAGCTCGTTTAAATTTGTTGGTATCATATCCCAGATTTTAAGGGAAGGACACGCTTTCACAAAATATTAGAGTTCAGGACTTTTCACAAGTATGATGTTAGTCTGCTTTATCTATCCCAAAAGGAGTTTGAGCAGCCCATTTTAGGTTTAAAAGGCTTTGGACAAAATAAACTAACATTACAATTTTGAAAAGCACTGATTTTAAAATATTCTGAAAATTCATTTATTACGTTCAAAAGCTGTGTTGGACCTGAGAAACCAACAAGTTTCAATAAGTACAGCTAAGAAGAGCACTGTTATGTCTTTATTCTAAATGCTAATGAATTGTCAGCAAATGAACCGGTCTGGGTTACACAACCAAGGTTAGATGTCTTGCTGCAGCTGCATGGGAGGCAGACAGTCTCTCCACTGTCTTGTCCTTGGGAGAAAGAAAAGAAAAGAAAACAAAAATGTGGTGACTGTTTGACAGAGCCTTGATTGAGAGCTTCATTTTGGCCTGTTTTTGTGCAGCACATAAATAAACATAATTGGGTGATTTAAACTAAAATTGCCTGACAAATTAATTATTTTCTCCACAACACTAGTGAACAATTAAGGCCAGAATTTAACATCTCTACAACTTAACCTGACATTTTGACCAACAGATTAGAGATAACCTGTTGATGTAATTGTTTATGAAATTCTATGAAGTTGTTTGCTGTATTATCAGCCCACCCTAAAAAACGGTTCAAATGCATCATCAGTATCTAAAACCAGATCCGGGTGGAAGTTGAGCGTATGTGAACTTGTGACAAGCACTGTAGGGCAGAGATGAGAGTTGTAGTTTCTAGATCAGGCCAGTTTTGAGGTCAGAGCCGCAGCGTGAAGAGCGGCTGAGCAGCAGTTCCTTCTCGTGGATCAGGGAGTCGAGCAGATCGTCCTGTCTGTAGTTATGGTAGACCTTCAGGAAGGCTAACACTGTGATCCCAAGCCAGGACAGCCAGGCAGCCCAAAGGCCAAACTGAAATAAGAACATCCTCTATTCATGAATGCACTTCCAGAAATATCAGATTGATATTTCTAGGCAACAAAAACCATTACCTGGGCTATTACGAACTGGTCATAGAAGGCAGAATTGTCCACGCCAAGTTCAAGGTCTGTGTCTTGCAGCTCCTCACAGCTAAACAAATTAACCAGATGTTAAAAGGGACTATATGATGCTTTTTGTCTGAAAGTCAATTATTGTGTGCTACTATTTCACCTGTTAGGCATGGTCCCACTCTCAGTGACTGCATCACACCACAGGTTGAAACCCACGCTGACAATGGTGCTGGACAGGAAGATGGTGAACATCACCAGGGAGCTTATCATCAGGTTGAGGAAGGCATTGAAAAATGAGCTGCTGGGAGAAAGAAGAAACATACAAAATCGGTCTATGCTGCTCTTGAAGCTATAATACAGCTAATATAAACCCGTAATTTCCTTTCTTGGAAAATGTGAATATTGTACAAAACCAACAGAAAAAGTTTTTTTACACACAGAAATGTTATGCAAGAACACTTCTAAGGGACAATTGTCCAGAAGACAGTTATTGACACCCCACACAATGAGCATATGCCACAAAAGACAATTCCTATTACCACTGAATTGACAAGGAAAATGGCAAATAGTCTTAATTTGCATGGCGTTTTATCAAGTCTAGGGAAAGCAAAGCACTTACACTACAGTCATTTACACACACTGATGGGGGGTAAGCTAAATTGTAACAAGAGCTGCTCTAAAATAGACTTAGAAATGAGGCTGCCATTCAAACTCTGAAATGGACATTGTTTAACAAATCTCTCATATCTGTATTATTTCTTTTGTAGGTGGACTCTCGTCTACCACACTTTTTCCTTCCTCCAAACTTTCCATTAATATGGATACAGCTCTTGAGAAGCTTCTTTTACATCAGCCTCTTTGTGCAGGGTGTCAATGACTGCATGATGGACAGCTGTATTATCCATGATGGCCCAGCCCATAGCATGGCTGCAACATAACATTTCAGTATGAGATATTTTATTGATGTTACATGATACGATGCTTTTATTTCTTTTTTTATTAAGTGAAAGCCATAACCATCAAGGTTAGCAGAAATAAACACTTTATACCAGGAAGGCCTAATAGATGTCGTAGAATGATTCAACATGGCTTAATGTTGATGATAATTATGCACTTTATCACAAATCTAGACTAATTTTTTTTATTATTATTGTGGTGTAAGTGAGAAACTAAGGAGGATTTTTCATATTGTGAAGAGGTACTGCGTAATTTTCCAGTTGCAGCGTAAGATGACTGCGTGTTTTAATAGATGCGGAAAACATTTTGAAATTAACACAACAGCATAGGCGTTGGATGCAGCTTATAAGCAAATAGTTAAACCTGTAAGTGATGCATCGTGCTTCCATTAGGCTTTGCATCATGTTTCCTACATATCTGCTCAAGGGGGAACATGTGAACTGCCACTCACTCGTCGTGTCCTTTGCACAAAAAGAACAGCAGCCTCCATGCCTGCACTGCGGATAGGATGAGGGATGCAATCCCGATAAAAGTGATGAAGCTGCAGGAGCACTCGGGTCCCCACTCCTCCACGATGAAGCGCTGCTTCGACACGGTGATGTTCTCGTTTTGCCACATTCCGCGGGTGAACAGCAGACATTTCCCTCCGAAGTCCTCCGAGTTCTCCGAGAGCGGCACCACGGCGATGAAGCCGAACACGAAGGCCAGAAAGTAGAGGATGCACTGCGCGAAGATCAGATTGTCGAGGGCCATTTTTCCGTCTGACGCCTCCGCCTTCTGCCCGCCGGAGAAAGTGCGGCTGCGCAGTGGAAGCAGAGACGAGCGGAGGCGCAGCATCCGAAGAGGAACTGTGCAGCAAATGAAGGAGTGGGCAGAGGCCTTCAAGGCTCCCCATCTGCATCCAGACCGTATGCGATGAACCGCTGCACTGCTGCTCCCGTCTTAAACTGCTGAGAAGGATTTAAGAGCTGCCACGTTTTAGAGCGCAACTACTGCAGTTGGATTTGACCGATTTGCACGGTTCCTTGCGGTGGCTATGTTGGGTTAAACACACTGTAGTTTTACATAATAATAATATTAATAAAATAATTTGATTTTATTGTCATTTCTCCTGAAGAAATTACAAATTGCAATTTGATAAAAATATCATGCAAGAAAAATAAATAAGAGTAATAAGTTAAATATAAAACGCAAACAGTTTTATCACCGCAGTGTGAACTAAATTGAGAGGATCATGATCTGTTAGACTTTTTGGGACACATCTGGTGCTCCATTCTACCAACACATTTCATCATCTGCAGTAAAATGTTTTAACAATGAATACAAATAGACAATTATCAAGTAGAAAAAATGAAATATCAAATTCTAATTAAAAACATGTTTTTCAAAAATAATAATGAGATGTAACATATCTCATGTGACACTTTAGATATAACGTATCATATAACATATCCTCATTGCACTGATAGCCTACATTTTTGCTATGCATACTCAAAAATAAGAGTAATGGTTTGTTTATACATGGTGACAGTCTTAAGGGAAGGGCAGGTAGCGGCCTGTCGCAGTCATCTGACATGCTCCAATGAGCCCATCTGCTGAGCTGAGCAAGGTGTCTCTGTCCCCTTGGTGGGATGCTGCCTTCTCACAGCGCCCTCCAGTGGGCAAAAATCCCATCTGCTAGTCAACAGACACGTTATGATCACCAGCTTTAATTGTTTGACCTTTTTGTTGCAAAATGTCAAAAGATTCAAGTTTTACGTTCTGGAACAAAAGGGCTTACGAATACAGTTGTTTTAATTAGCAAGTTATTAATGTGAACCTATAGCTTTTTCATCATCAGGGGTCTCATGGAGTCTTTTAAAACCAGGATCCATGTATATTATTCTTATAGTTCGCCTTGCAATATTCAATACAACATAAAGACAAGTATTTATCTGTGTGCTTAGAGATAACAGGAAGCTATTTGTATCCATCATACGAACTGCAGTATTTCGCATTATCTCCCGGGTGTGTGATTTAGGCCTTGTCATTTTGCTGCAGCTCTGCACTCTGATTTTCATGATCTTATCAGCTCACAGATTAGCTTGAGTTATGTTTGTGTGCGAGAGGTTTAGGCTTTAAAGTTGATTTGATTCCAAAGAACTGAGACGGTTTTATGGTATTGTCATATCACTTTAAAGGCTTCTGAAATGTATATAACAGAAAATTGTGAGATGGAGATTTTCTTTTACAGTTTAATAAAAAAACAAAACAAAATAAACAACAACAAAAAAAAAGTATACCAATACCATGCACTGTGCACACCCCATACACAGTTCATCTTTCAGATGAAAGAATCTTGCCCCCATTTCATTCAATCGGAAAGCAATCCTCATAGATTGTTCATATGATCTTAAATTGGAATAATGGCATTTTTGTAACAAAACAATCTAAATCCTGGGAAGTATGCATAAATCTGTTTAGTCTTTTTAATTATGTAATAGTATTGCTAATTTAGAAAGAAAAGGATTCTTCCTTTTTAAAAAAAAAATCAACCATCTGAGAAACAGATGGATTGTTTCTCAACACAAAATTAACTACATGTAGTTTAGCTGATGTCCTAACTGATTAGACCTTGAACAACCTTTGGTATCAGAAGTGCTGCAACAACTGCAAGGTCAAAGTCTTAAAAAAAAAAAAAAAAAAAAAAACGAAGAGGAAATTACATGAGCAGAATTCCAAAGCCCATTTTTAAATAATACAACATGTGTGGGCTCGTGAAGTGGGCGCCCAGGGGAGACCCGCAGGAGAAGTGTGTCAACCTGAAATATGTGTTAAGTTATTCACTCACCCGAACAAGAGAGGGATAAGGGGAGGGATGCTAACCCAAATGCATTCCCTGGACTCTGGGTAAATATAGAGGGGAATGGACTGAAGAAAGCATTGGGAGGTCATCCATTTTTCATGAGATGCTATGGCTACAAAGCAAACATCCCATTTTTTTTTCCAAGCATGGGGGAAGCCAGCAAAGAATGCAAAGAGTGGAATCAATTCCAAGGATAACATCAGTGGATGTTTTAATGTGGTGTATTTGTGTTTTTATCTAGAACAGCATGTATCCTTTTAATATTGAACAGACAATGGTGAAAATATATATTAATAACAATCTTTGTGACGCTTTCAGATTTAGCTCAGAGAAACATTCAAGAAAGCATGTACTGCATGTTGCTGGTATGTCCAATGTTTAGTTGATCGGTCAGTGTTACAGAGTGTGAGTTCATGATATATAATTGAGATTCATGTCTTCAAAAGACTCTTTTTATCATGCATTATTTTCATCATGTTCTCTTCACTCGTTTGCCTTTCCTGGGTTGTATTCTTCCACTCATGACTCTTTGTTGTGGAGACTTCCCTCTCCAACCTGCAAGCTCCTTTCCTTCTGCCTGTAACACAAAGCAAGAGTGAAAAACAGACACAATTACAGCCTCATATCCTGAGCAGTGATGTGACAGGCTTAATGAAATATCCTGTACCCATTAATCTTTCCCCTTGAGGGGGTGCAGTAGAAAGGATGCACTGGGCCAACTGCTGATTAAATGCTCCTAATAGAGGCCATTCATCTCACCTTAAACCTTGAACATTTTAACTTGTAGCAGTAGCCAGCACTACATTGCTGCATGTTTCTTTGACCAAGCAGTGCAGTTTCAATCCACATTTTTTTTAATGTAATTTTGCTCTTGTATTTCCCAATTTACATTTCCTTCTATAGGGTTTTCCAAACCAAAAGAAAGTTTAGTTTCCACATTAGCTTACATAAAATCCTTTTATGTAAGCCAATGTGATTAATGTCTGTAAAAATACAACTGATTTGTGTAGGCCTTAGTGGTTTGTTAGATGACATTGGTAAGCCCAAGTAATCCAGCAGACAGGTTAAGGACAACATGGTGGAGAAGTTAAAGCAGAGTTAAGTTCGAACATGTCTTTGAAGTCAGTTTAATCCATCATTATCCTTATGAAAATGAAGAAATAATCAGAGGATCAGTCAATATGTCTGTGGGAACTTCAGAGGAGCTGCAAATACCATATTAATATAATATAGCTTATTCATAGAAATGCCTAAGCAGCTTTGGATAGATTGATGAAACTGAAAGTCAGAAGTCATTTCTGAACACAAAAGTAATATTTGGGACAAAGATGAGAAATCCCCTGTGGCCAGACACTTTAACACAGCTGGTCATCTTTAAATGTCAAGAAAATTAAACATCTGTTTCTAAAAGAAGGCATGACAGAAACAGACTTATTACAAAGATAAGCATTCTGGATTCACAATTTATGAGCAATAAAACAGGGTTTGAGTAAGGAACTGGTGTAGAACCATTATCTTTCTAATTATATTGTCTCAAATTTATGCTAGCAATTGCTTTTTGACTGTATTTCCAGAAATGTTTAGCCATTCTGTGAATGTTACCGATTAAATTTTGACTCTCAGTGCCCTGTTTCATCTTTGGGTAGATTGCCTGATATGCTGTTTTCATGCGTGTGTATGAATGTGTGTGTATGTGTGTTAAGTATAAATCCTCATGTTTCAGAATTTTAATTTGAAGAAAAATTGAAGACTGTGTATTGTTTTTCTTCAGCTTGAATTTTATGCATTACTTGCAAACAAAATACTGAAAAGATATATTGAAGTTCTAAGATGACAAAATGTAAATTTCAACATGTTTTACAGGGCACCGCAGTTAGGTCAATAATCTGTAGTTATTTTTATTAACCCCACAGTTTAATGAACTACAGCTTTGTGTGGACATACTTCTTGTATTATCATAATAATTCATTACGTAATCAGCATAAAAATTGAGGTACACACATCTTAATCCACCAGTGAGTCCTTTAGTCCTCTAGGTCAAAGAAAAAGCACAAATCCATATTAAACTAGTCAGATTGGAGAGGACACATCTATTTTTTTAACAAATATACAAAAGCAACAATGTGACCTGCACTTCTGTTTGGAGAATGACATCATTGCGGGAGGAGATCTTAAAAGCAGTGATGTTTATGCTGGAAGACGTATGAACAAGGGATGAAGGGGAGTAAAGAGGACACCTGCTGGGCTGTGATGAGGAGAAATCCCAAGGGCCTAAAAATGAGATCATCCCAGCAACACCAAGTCGCTAACTGGAGCAATAGTGCCCCCTGCAGGACGGATGATGTTTCACATCGTTGATGACAATGACTGTACATGGAGATTTGAAAAAAACATTCAGTACCTGTTTGTCATCTGTTTGCTTTGCACAGAAATCAGTGAAGTTGGCCAGACTGTCGGTGAACGATGGGCCAAGTAGACAGGAAGATGTGGTGTTATCTGTGAGCAACAAGAAGGAAAACTATGACTTGAGAAAGGTAAATGTTGAAGATATTGCTTTTATGCCAGCATTGTGTGAGCATTAAAGTTCCTTTTAAAAGAAACTATCACATAAGATGAACCGTTGGGCAAGGAAAAAAATATTCTCATAATTTTTAACCAATCTCATGTCTTTGAGTTTTGACTTAGCTATAAAGATGTGCATGAGTGAGAGACAGCAAGCCCAGCTGTGATCAAAAGAGGTGCATCTGCAGAGCTTTAAGGTACTCCCCCATACACACATATACGCAGACTATGGGGTGGGGGAAATGCAGTGGCGAAATAGGGGTTGTTTTATGGATGAATGGCTGCCACAGCAAGGTTGAGGTAACCAGTCTCTTTCCAGTCCCCATCCCTTTGATGCTACTACCTGTATTTCTAACCCTTGAGCAGCTCAACAGTTTCTCTGTGATTCAGTCATCTCTCAAGAGAACTAATTAGCAATTCCCTCAAGGTAATTTATTTTTTCTGCAATGTACGATTTAACAGTTAAAAATGTATTCAAGCTAGAAGACCTTAAATCTTGAAAGCATGAAACAGATAAATTACAACCAATTTTGCTTATATTGAACACAAAAATATTTTGAGAAGAAATATATATGGGTAAAACAGAACAGTGATGGAATGAGCCCTTTGAGAACCTGTGTATGATAAAGAGGGTGAATTTTGTGAAGGTAGATAGGTGCAGACTTTCTGCTGGAAACACGTTTTTCATCCAGGATTATGAAACAATTGGAATTGTTGATTAAAGAGAAGCAGACAAAAACTGTTCATCCAGCAGTTAGAAACTGTATAACCAGACTACTTGGTGTTATTAGAAAAAAGTATAACAATAATTTTTAAAAAATTGCTTTATTTTCCAGACACACTTAAATTCAGAGGAATTCTCAGCAGTCAAGAGGGTAGAAGTGGATATGATGCTGTAGGGTGGCTCAGAGCTACAACCTGAGTTGTCCTGCTTACCAAGTGTTGGTGGGCCAGAGTTGTCCTCTGAAATCAAGCTTTGGTTCAGGTCAGTCACTGGATCTTGGAGGGTTGTTGGTGGTCTACTGGAGAAGTCTTGGGTGCCACACCCCAGAGCTTCCTTTTGCTGGTGGTGTTCATCCCCTGTCTGATCATAAAATGTGCAGTAAAAGACAGGCAACAGAACATATACAGTTTTGTGAGCTGTGCCCACCTGCTCTGCTGATATCACCAGAACACCGTCTGACTGGTCTTCCCTCTGGTAGGAACCTGAAGCGACCATTTTGGGAGAATCATCAGCTGCTTGCTCTCCTGGTGTGTACTTCCTGTTGTCTTTGCCACCTTGCAAACCATAAGATATTACTTTATCTTGGGACTTTAAACCTTTGTCGAAGTAATGTTCTGTGGCGCCATCTGGTGACAGTTTTGGCACCAGCAGAAAATCAGCCACAGAGGCGAAATTGTCCTCATCATCTCCTTCAGTTTGGATCTCCTGATCAGTGAGAAAAGCTGAAATCCTCTGCAGAGTTATGGTGCTGTCAAAAAAGTGAGGATGTGTCGACAGAGGTGCTGATGAGGCAGAGGAGAAAGAAAGGGCTGACAAAGACCTTTGATTCTCAGACGTCAGAATGTCCGGTGTCTCAGATTGATTCTGTAACAAAGACACAAAGATCTGTGACTGTTTCACTTGAAAATACATATGCATTTTTTAAAAAGTGGGGGCTTAAACTACATACAGAATTGAGAGCATAGTGTTCCCCTTGGTCATCCTCTGTATTAGCTGTTTGTTCAGTTTCTTCCACAGCTTCCATTGAGAATGGACTTGGAGTGAGGCGACGCAGAGCCTGCACTGACAGAAATATTTCTCTGCTGTTTGATTTTCTCTTTGGTTTCTTTGGCCACACAACCTCACTGTAATAAAGAACACAAAGCTTTAGCTTCAGAAATGACATAAGCTCGTGATGGACATGGATGTTATACTAGATGCAGCCTAAATTGAGTAAATTGAGTTTTATTATTTTAATTATCCCATCATCTTAATGCAGTGGACCAGTACCACTGAAACCTTTTGTTGATGTTACTACCACTATGCCTGGAAGGGAGTTTTGTGTTCTTAGGTTGGAAACCCTCTCTTTTATGTCTCCAAATCCTCTGCTTTTCATTTCAACAGAGGATTTGTGCAAGTGCTTCCTCACCTAATGTTGTAGTACCCAACCCCTGCACAAATAATTCTTGGTTTTGGAGGCAAATACATCTGTTTCTGTCACTGTTTGTTGTTTTTTTTCTCCTAGCTTCTATTATTAGATTAGCTATTGACATGCTCCTGTCTCACTGATGTATGATAATTTAGAAGCCCCGATACCTTATGCTGGGATTTGGTTTTCTCACTTCTGTCACAGCCTTCTTGACCAGTTTGACAAGTTCCTCTGAAGACATCGTTCTCTCCGCATGATTCTGATTCAGTGTGGCAGACAGTGGGCAGGGTATCATTTCACTAAAACAATCTGAAAAAACAAGACTTACATGCAATGCACTTTTTTTCAACATTTGATTTTTTTATGTAATTTTTTATTTTTTTTTTACCTTTATTCTTCTGCTGCAAGATGCATATTTCCACTCTGCTGCAGTCTTCTTCACCCTGATCAAGAGTTTAAAAAGTTGTTTTAGACCCTTAGGACTGTGAAGTAAAGTAATATTTATGAGTTAATGTAGATTAACCCACGTTGCATCCATGGCAAACGTATTTTACAGCTTCAGCATGTAGATTCACACCTTTACAGGCCTGGAGGAAGTACATGACCATATCCTCATTTTCTGTGTGGCTTCCTTTCAACATAGCCCAAGCATCAGACAGACAACTGTGTAGGTGGAGAAAAACAGCCAAGCTATAATTCAAGACATTACTCAATTGGTAAAGAAGCCAAGAGAGCACCTGCTTAGAAGAAACACTTCTGCACAAAGTTTTGCATCCTCTATGGTTTCTATGGGAGGTTTTGTCCATTGGAGATACTTCAGTGCCATGTGGTTCTGCTTGCTTTTCAGCAGAGAGATGATAATGCATCGATGTTGCCAGGAGAACTGAGGGATATCAGCTTTGGGACTCAACAAGAGCTCCATGGAGGCCTAGGAACAAAGTTTATTGGGCATTATTTTTCAAATCAAGTTATTTTTAAATATAAATGATATAACAAAAAGAGAAATGCATCTTTATTTGTTTCTATTTTAACACATTCATTGTTCTTGAATGAGTACCTTTGTGTGCCCATGATCAAACATCCAGAAGGCTTTGATTTGATGGGAAAATCTATGAGGAATTGTGAAAGCATGGCAAAAAGACTGCAGAAGGTTGTCTTTGCACTGTAGGAAGTTAGCCACATCCACGATGAAGTATAATAGCTGGGATGAGTTTATTAAGAGCCATAATCCATGGTGACTGCACTAATTCTTTGGAACATTATGCTAAGCTACAACCACAAACTTCATTGTATTTCATTTGGGATTTTAAGTGATAATAACTAATTATTTTTCTATATATCCCGCTATTTCTGTGAAGTCATTAGAGGCTTGTTAGGGAATATCAATGAACCTATAAGCTGTAATATTTTAGGTCTAAACTCCAGGATTGGATACCACCAGACTATTAAGTGTAATCTAATCAAAATGCTTTGAAATTTGAGGTTGTACTTGACAAAATGTGAAAATGTTAAAGTTTTGCAAAGGAATATACATTTAAATGCCATGTAATGAGTTCTTAGACATATTGCTGACTGGATACAATACCCTGGACCAACATGTTGTCAATACAAGGAACCAAGACAAGCTTCAGAAGGGATTGAAGAGAAGGTGGAGGGTAGCATTGATCTGTGCAGTCTTCAGAGGTCCATATACACCCATGTCTTTTGGACAGCTGCATCACCATGCCCTTGATCAAAAAGACACATCTTTCCATCTCTCTCTTATTCCACCTAAATTCAAATTGGGAAAAAAAGAAAGAAAACCAAAATTTAAGGATGAATTTAAGGATATGAGTAGAAATATAATATTTGTAATCTCTACAGAAAAACAGCAGTGGTGTTACCAAGCAGTTTTAAGACATATTTCCTGATGGCGGAGCTCCATTTCCTTCCACATCTGGGAGATACGTTTCAGTTCTTGGGCTTCTAACAGCAACAAAAGGGAACACAAATGTCTTTAGAGATGTGACTGCTTTCTGTCATGTCAATTCATCCATTTAAAAAGATATCAGTACCAGGTAACCTGGGCAGAAGCCCCATAATGCCCCACCACTGAACAAGCCGACCCAGCCAGATGTGTTGTTTCAGAGTGCAGAGCTCTTGGTTCCAACAGGCATGTCTGACATTCAATGAGTGCTGTGTGTCCCTGCAGATCATACATGGACCCTTCAAACCTAATTGGAAATTAGCCAAAAAAGATTGCATTAGTGCTGGAATTATTAAAAATGTCTAGCTGATCCGTCTTGTTGGACCTTGTTGTTTTCTCAACCACTGAACCAAGATGTGCAGGTTCTGTAGCCTCTGGAGCAAGATGTGTACTTCAACAAAGGAGCTCCGATCCAGGAACATCCACAAACCCTGACAACGACTGAAACCTATTGGGTGAAAATAGAAACTATGAATGTTTTGCATTTATGGGATTTTTTTCAGAACTGACATTTGATAAAGTGGCAGTGCCCAGTTACATAGCTTGAGTGAAATAAAATGGATTTAACACAAAATATTCAATTTAAAGTGCTTTTTACTCATTAATTTGTTGGAAGAGAGCAGAAAAAAATTCACCTTTTCAATCCATAAAATAAGAAACAGATCTTCCCCAAATAAGAGAAACAATCAACATTAGTTTGTCTGGAAAGGGTTATAAACATGGAACAGTTGTGAAGCTTCCAAAAAATGTTGGGCCAAGCAAAAATAATCAACACACCCATGAAAGCACATTAGAACTTGTCAAAACCTGAAACACTGGCTGCCTTACTTCTCCTAGTTAAGGTCAGTGTTCATAATTTAACAGTAAAGAAAGAGATTGGGAGAAAATAGTGGGAAGCACATTTGTTAATAAGTATATTGATATATTGTAGGCCATGTCTTTCAATGAATCTACCATTGAAATTCACAAATAAATTGCCAAATACAAAATACTTACACAAGGTTGACAATTCCTTTTTTGTGACTTCTGATGTTCTCTGTAGCCAGGAGCCAAAGGTTTGCAGATGTTCCTCCAAACATGCATCACCTTTGTAAAGTTTAACAAAACAACACACCTTTCACCATAAAATATTTCACAGAGTATATGGAGATCAAAGATTTCTTCTATTCTTTATGTACCTTTAATATTCTGCTTCTTCAGCCAGTGAATGATGGTTCTGATTTTGTTAGCACCCAAAGCTTCAGACCATTGACCCTCCAACATGATCTTAAATGTCAGATCTTGGGTTCTACAGCAGGATGAAGACGTTTACATGGTGATATACAGGCAATATTAACCCCCAAATAGCCAAATTGGCACTGGTCACAGATTTTGATAGTCATAATAATCTGTGACCTTACTGTACAGGCCTGTAAATTATGTCAGAGTTTAAAACAGCTATTTTTCAGAGTTCTGTCACCTCTTCACCACTTTCTGAGTGTATTTATTACAATATTTAAGGTAAAACAATATTCATATACAATCCTCAAAGACCAAGCAGGAGATTTATAATACACTTCAGGCACGTGTCCTTCAGGTGTTACAAACCTATAACATGTGATGTTCTTAGACTATCTTAAACATAATTAGATCAATGGATTGTTCAATAGCAGATTAAAGCATGGAGGTTGTGAGAATTGTTCTGACATCTAAAAATGCTATATATTCAGTACTTACTCAGCAATAGAGGAGGTTATTTGTCTACTGATTGTTGGTGGAATTTCCTGAGTCTGAGCAGACCAGTGAGTGCTCAATGTTGTGTCATGTGGATTTCCAAACAACCGCAGTGGCTGCAGCAATGTTTTCCTTCACCCAAGCTACTTTCTTAGATGTTAATCCACTAATCTCTCTCTGTTAACATTTCATTGGCCAAGTCGCACCCTCTCCGGACTAGTACTGAGGACTACTGCGAAAGAAGAATCCAGTAATTATAAAGGGAAGGAAGTATTCCTGTTTGACTTTGTGTTTGCCTCTGTGTAGTATTTCTCAAAATCTCAAAGAACCAAATAGTTGCGCATCCATTCAAAACACTCTGTTAACTTCCTTCTAGATTATATCATTAATTTACAAGCAGAATGTAAAAAATACTTACCCACAGTACCATAAAAATACATTCATACTCTTGACTTTTTCACATTTGTCATATTTTACCCAAAAACTTCCATGCAGTTTAGTGGCATTTTATTTAATACAAAAATAGCATAAAACACCAAAGTGTAATATTTTTAAATAGCTAAAAAATGAAACTTTTTTTCATTTAGCACCCTGAGTGAATGGCTGAATATGAACATGGTTTTATCTAGGCTACTGAATTGTAGCTCTGGTTGTTTGTTTAAGATTAAGAACATCAGTCTCAGTTTTGAATGGCTTGAATGGCTTGTAGCCTCTAACTAGTTTTCTTCTAGAATTGCCTTGTGCTAAGCTTCATCCATCTTTTGTTCAACTATGATCAGCTTCAGATCATAGTTGAAGAAATGCATCCCCACAGAATACTGCTGTAACTACCATCCATCACACAGGGTGGAGTACAGGATTATGTACAGTCCTAGTAATTTTAGTTTTTCCTACCTGCAGTTTGAGGCTGTTAACTATTTAAATTAGAGGACTTCTGAAGGCAAATATTCAGGTTAGTAGGAGCTCGAGCTACATCATTTGTCTACCCATCCGTCTGTCCATCCGTCTGTCGCTTATTCTTGTAAAGTCATGGAGGGCCCATCAAGGATTACCTTTCTCCAGCAATCATAACATTCAGTGTGTTAGTGCTTAACTATGTCTAACTGAAACTCTCGACCACCTTTCACCTTCATAAGAATATTAGGAATTGATAAATACAACATGCTTATTATTTAGCACAAAGTATGTCTTGGAAAAAGAAAGACAAGTGTTAAATCTGTTCTTGAATTTTAATCTACATGCTTACACAACAGATACTTGGTATTACTTTCACAGAACTGAGACTGTCAGATTTGCATAGGTGGCAGAAGGTGGGTGCAAATCCCAAGCGGGGCCCAGGGCCGATTAATGATCAAAAGGAGATTATGTGGAGGGTCAGGTGTTGGCTGCCGGTCTCATTCAGATGCTCCCGTAGCTGCCTTGTGATATCTGTGTCAGTATGACCACTCGGCTCCCTCAATAAAGAATGAGGACATCATGGAGAAAATAGACAAACATGAGGATGGCATCAGGTGTTATTGACGAAAGCAGAGAACATGAAGGTGAGCATAGCTCTATATCTTTTTAAATATTTAAAAAATATTTCCTAAATAAGAGTTTTTGCATAATATTTAAGTAAGCATAATGGGAATTATTTGTTTTTCCACATTTAATAGAAATAAGAAATACTAATCTTATGTTTGTTTCATAGTTATGGTTATTGTGCTGATAATCCATGCTTATAAAAACCTTGTCAAATGTCGTTCTACTTATTGATCACCATTTTTCTTTCTGAAACAGTATACTCATTTGATAATGTGTATATTTTTTACTATAGCTTTCTTCAGTATGACCACAATGCAGCGTCTACACTATATCAATTACGACGGATGGAGTAAGCTGCTTATGAAAGGACCGACGGAGAACCTACAACCAAATCCCCTCCCCTCAGTCCACTGCCCCCTCTGGAGGATAAACTGTTCCTTTTCCAAGATCTACTTACATCCCACAATTAATCCCACCCTCACTTTTAAGGAATAACTACAAAATATACAAACAATGGCAGTTTTAAAGGTAAAGTTTACTAAGACCAGGAGGGACAAGCTGGCCCAGATCCTGTGGATCCTCAACTGGATCTCAGTGGTTACAGGGGTCATCCTGTTCAGCCTGGGGCTCTTCCTCAAGGTGGAGCTCAAAAAGCGTGAAGAGCTGATGGCAGAGAAGGACATCCAGTATGTTCCCAACATGTTGATAGCTGTGGGCCTGATTGCTTGTGTTATCAATTTCCTGGGTGGGAAGATCTGCTATGACTGTGTGGACTCCACCAAGTTCATGCGCTGGAAGCTGATCATGCTGCCCTACATTGTGTGCACCTTCTTTTTCACCCTGTGCGTGCTTGTGGGGGCTCTGATGTGTTACAGCATGCACTGGGAGCTAGAGGAGGCTCTGAACCTGGGCCTGATGCAGGCTATGAGGTTCTATAAGGACACAGACATGCCAGGACGCTGCTTCCTGAAACACACTGTGGACACACTGCAGATACAGTTCCAGTGCTGTGGGAACAGCGGCTACAAAGACTGGTTTCAAATTCAGTGGATAAGCAACCGTTACCTGGACATGTCCAAAAAAGAAGTCATAGAGTAAGTACAGTATGTTGTGCCACATTTTAAAAACTTGACAACAAAGACAGCAATACGGAGCTGTTCCTAAGAATGAATGAGATTATTGTTGACATTTTACAATTGAACCATGCCATTCTTTTTTCAATGGTTGAAGATTAATAGAAGAAACAACTTCATTTTTAACAGTTGCATTTAATCCTAGTGTTCTCCAAACTAAATATAAATTCAGACTAAATGTTTTCTAGATAAACATTTAAACCCTTCTTCTAGAAGAATTGAGAGCTCATGGCTTGTTTCCTGACAAATATCTGCCTCTTAAGCATAGTCCATTATCTGTTCAGTAAGGCAAAAGTTGAGGCCATTCCTCACATTGAAACTATATTCTCATTACCTGTTTTATTCTTTTTCCAAACCCAGCTTTTTATTGAACACGTGTTTGAGATCATTGACCTGTTGTAGCACCCCAACTGTCTTAATCAGTTTATTCATAATTAAACAAGGAGGCTATTTTGTTCACACGAGTTCAGGTTAGTTTGCATGGCATTTTTTGGCGTAATAAACAAACAAAGAGAAATGCACCAATTTGACCAATAAAAACCGAACTTTATCCCTTTCCTGCTCTCAAGTCGACTGAGAAGTAATGTAGAGGGGAAGTACCTGATGGATGGCGTCCCATTCAGCTGCTGCAATATCAACTCACCTCGGCCCTGTATCCAGCAGCAGCTTACCAACAACTCAGCCCATTTCAACTATGAGCATCAGACCGAGGACCAGAACTTGTGGATGAAAGGCTGCCGACAGGCACTGCTGGAGTACTACACCCACATTATGCAGTCCATTGGCCTTACAGTCCTCATTACCTGGCTCTTTGAGGCAAGGAAACACTATAAATCTACCTTACCTTGAAAATATATTTGTCCCTCTTGAACTTGTCACATGTCAAAACCAAACATTAAGCATTTAATTGGGATTTTATGAAACAGACAAATGAAAGTAGTCCATAAGTGTTTGTAGAACCAGCTTTTGCTGCCATTACTGAAACATAGAAGATTTTTTTGAATTTGTCTGCCTGGTTTGCACAACCAAATACTGAAATGTTGCCCATCGTTCTTTGCAAAATAAATTTAGCTCATTTAGTCTGCTTGAGCATCTGAACATAAATTTTCAAAATTTGCCACTTATACTGAGTAATAGATTTGGATCCTAAATATAAAAGGGTCACAAGAACACTTGAATGTGCTTTGAAAGTTTTTCCATATGCCCAAGTCTCATGGCTTTTGTTGCCTCTCTTCCTGTAGAAAACATACAGATTGATACAGATTCAAAAAAAATACTCTTTGGGACTCTAATGTGACAAAATGTAAAAAAAAAAAATTAAGTTCAAGATGGATCCCTGTATCTGCAGTTGTTTTAGAAAAATCTTTACATTCAGACAATCTTAGCTTCTCCTTTGATCTTCTAAAAATAATTAAAGCATACCACATACAAACTTAATCTTTTTTTTCATTTTTGTCACTAATTGTATTCCTGTTTTGTTTTAGCTGTCAGTGCTGACGGGTGTTCGGTACCTCCAGACCTCCCTGGAAAATGTGCTGAGGCAGGGAGACCCCGACTCTGAATCTGATGGTTGGCTGCTGGAAAACAGCCTCATGGAAACGGCCCGTACCAACCTGAGCATCATAAAAAGCCTCGGCAAGAGCAACCAAATAAACACAGCCAACAATGGTGACCCCAACATCGATGTCCCATCCACCTCAAAGGCACATTATGGGCCAGATAATGTTCCCCCAAAGGAGAAGATGGAAACAAGCTAAACATTTCAGACTTAAAGACCGTACTGAAAAATATCTCCAATCCTCTGAGCTTTTGTTCTGCTCTCAGCAGAGGTCTTGAAATAATGCATTGTCTACTTTTTTAAGATCTGTTAATGATATTATATATTATACTATTCATATTAGGACATGATTCATTTTACTACTCAACTATAGTTCATGGACTAATTTACTTGTTGCCATGTTGGATTCTTTTGGTGACAAAAAATGGAGTGAAAAGGTTTGCCATAACCAGACTGACACCATGTCAACTTAACAGAATAACTTGTCAGTGAAAGGGGCCTTGCCATTAATAATGTTTAATCGTGCTTGTTTTATTAAAATCCAAACTTTTGGATGCAATGGTGAAGTAAAGTACTAAATCTGTAAAAATGTCTAATGTTTAGTTGATAACTTTTTACATGCTTAGTGTTAAACCAATGTTTGGGTAGAAGATTTGTTCTATGCTTTCAATTGAAGACTCACAAGTTCAATCATCTATAGTAATCTGGTCACTTTTTGTTGACAAAATGCAATCAAAACTTCCTAAATCTAGGAAGATTTAGATTTATATTCTTGAGCCACATTTATCTTTATTCTATTTGTGCTGGTCACCGTACATCAAATTTATAAAAATCCTCATCTTACAGAAAAGCAAAGTAATATACACTGCAAATGAGTATAAAATCTATGAACTGATTTAAGCGGGACAAAACAGCAAATAAAAACAAGTGGAATGTACATAGCAAATACCACAGTGTATTTGGTTATCCACCAAAAGAAACAGCTACAATAGTCAAATACTATTAAATGGATTGCATACATGTTTATTATAAGGTTTTAATGTAGGTACATTTAAATAGCTATATACTTGGATTAGGAATATAGGCCTTAAATTACTGGGTCAGAGGCTGCTGGGAGATTGTCATTGGAACCTGTGTACTGATTGTAATCCGTTGCCTTGTTTGACATCGAATCATCCCAATGATGGCTCTTCTGAATCTGCAGGAAAAAAAATATTTTACAGTGCCAGAACAGACTCTCAAATATAATCCTGTGCACTCAAGAAAATACTCACTTTTTGTTGGCAATAACATAGATGCAGGGGTTGTAAAATGTTGAGGACTTTGCAAAGAGAGGAGCAATAATGGCCATCGGGGCAGGAATGGTCTTTGGGTCACCAAATGATGCCCAGAGGCAAACCAAGGAGTAGGGAGACCAGGCAACCAGAAACATGATGATCATTATAATAGACATCTGCAGGAACACAGACAACAAAAGTCTTAACTTTAACACTGATTTAGTTTCCATGTGGATAAATGCATGTTTTTACCTAATTAAACGTAGGAAAAATAATTGTGATTAAAATCAGTCTTAATAAACATTTTTCACATACAAAAAACATGTCTAAGTGCTACACATTAAAAAAAATTATGTTCAGCAGAGTTTGCTAGGAGGAGGGAGTGTCAGAATGTGTTTTAGTTGCTGTAGTTATTAAACTGCAATGAATTTTTGTGGATTCAAAGCCTCACATATTAATTCTCAGGAGTTGCTTTCACTCTTTCACACAGGGCTGGAATGTAGTTAAATTAGTAAATCTAGAGCTTAATCTTTCTGCCCAGTTTCTCATACAACATGACGCACTAGAACAAAACTCTGATATATATATGCACAATATATAAATATATTCCATCTTTTCTCTGTTGATAACCATGAGTTCAGACTCAGACAAGTTGACTTTCTTTTGGCTAACTTCTCCCCAGTCCATCTTGAAATTCACTGACTTGACAATAACAAAGCAACACAGACTCTGAACTTCAGTTTTCTTTAGTTGATTTGAAAGATCATCACACATTTGTGGAAACATGTCTGACATTCTAAAATGATGTCTGCTCACTAGTGATTCATCACCTTCAAATTTGCTGTTAATGGACACAAGATAGTGTCCGTGTTGTGTATTTAAAACAGACTGTTAGGAAAAGCAAAGCTGATTTACCTTGGTGACATCCATCTGGTCAGACCAGTCAATGTTGATGCTCTCCAGGCAGTTACTGGTTTTGTACCTCTTCACGGTGACAGACACATTGTAGTAGCAGTAAAACATGACAGTTAGAGGAACCACAAAGTTTACTGCAATCACGGCCATCGTGAAGGAGATGAAGGAGCTGTGAAGGAAAAGTAGAGGTGTGTTTTTGAGAACATCTAGCAAGTGAAGTAAAACTATGTTACACAAAAAACCAGATATGCACTTCTGAAAACTCACGCATCGTTTTGTCTCCAGTTGATTGTGCATGTTGCTCCAGTGGGGTCAGGGGCATAACTTGCCCAGCCTACTATAGGCATGGAGGACCAGAACACAGCATTCAGCCAGGCAGTCAGAATAAGGATGTTGTAAGACCTAGCAGTCATTTTCTGACCTTTAGAGACAAAATCAAATAACTTCAACAAGAGCGAGAGGGAAGAATATACAATCTGGATTGTTTATTAATTTCAGATGTTCCTTTCTATTCTGAAACTTTCTGAAAGTGGGATTTTTGTTTTGATTAATTATTTTAACTGATTTTGCAAACTCTGTTGACAACTTTCAGTCTGGCATTTTGACATGATGTAAAAACATAAGTTAGTGTTGATCTCTCTGGTTTTAAAGAGACCAACTTTGAAAAGATTTAATCGACATGAATACTTTTGCAAGGCTGCAGAGTAACACTAGTTGGAGTTGCTCCTGACATCACTTAACGTGTTCTATGGCATCAAATACATTCAACAGGAACCAGAATGTCCAAAAGCTTTGTAATGGACATTTTGCCTACTATAGCCATGGAGGACCATGCCTATAATACTAAGAAATATACACAGTAAAAGCTGTCTCTAACTGTAGCTTGGAATGGTAAGGACATTTTTGGCTTTATTGGTTTTAGTCGTTTTACAGCAAAATTTATTTTGCCCTTAAAATCATCTATATCTTTTTTGTCAGGTTTGGATGCTGACAAAGGGAGTTTATTCCTTCTACATGGCTCAACTAAAGGTAAAGGGAGGTAAAAGTTGGAGAGGAAAAGAGTGAGCTCGTACTGATGTCTGGTCTGCAGATGGTGAGGTAGCGGTCAATAGCAACCACAGTCAGTAGGCCGATGCTGGCCATGCCAAAGAAGATGTTGAGGGCTGCATATACCTAAAATCAGAAGCAAAATAAAAAGTTCAACCTAGGAAATTCTATGTTGATCCTCATTAGGACATTTTTACTGAATCTGTTGAGCATCACTAAACAGTTCATAAGCTTGTTGACTAAAAATACACACAAACACTAGTTTTTAGCTCTTTATATGGGAATGCATGCTTGCGTCTTATGGTATGTGTGTTCCTGAAAGGAATACAACATACGTTTGACCAAATCTGCACAATAACAAACATAAGCTGCAGAAAGAAAGTCCAAACACGTGACCTGAGCTGACCAGCTGAGGTGAAAGTCTGCTCACTGTTCAAAGTCTTGGTAGCTTAGAATAAACCAGTTAACTATTCTAATTTTACATGACGAGACAGAAAAAAAAAACAATTGTCCAAAAGAAAAACCTGAAATTAAAAAAACCAACAAAAAGAGAAACCCTTGATCAAAAACACATCAAAAGATTACAGAAAAGTAAGGGAGAAGAAACTGTGCATAAATTTCTGCTTTTGTTTCCTCACCTGGCATCCGGTGTAGCCGAACTTCCAGCTTCCATGAATATCTGAGGCAGCAGACATGGGATAACCAATACCAGCCACTCCAATGTCAGTGAAGGCCAGATTGATGATGATGAAGTTAGTGGCTGTGCGGAGCTCCCTGAACTTTACAAACATCAGCAGAACTACGATGTTACTGGCCAAACTGATGACACCTGAGAGTGGAGGAGGCAAAAGCTTTCTATAAAGGTAGTTTTCATCATACTGAATTTTTAGGTGACATTTCTGAGCTCCGTATTACAAAGCTTGACAAGTGTTTCCTAAAGTGATCCTTTCTCAATGTGGTTTTGTCTGTTGTTATTGAATTATGGTTCTTTATGCATGGCCATGTAGGCGTCCTTCAGATTTGTGTTTCATAATGTCTAATGTTTTAAACATTCATATTAAAAGTAATACTCTTTCAGTTGGCCTTTGTAATCTGTATGTTTGCTTAATTGTGGAACAAGACAATGGTGGTTTTTTTAAACAAGTTCAGATATGATAATTTACAGAAAAAATGTAAATGAAATTCAAATCAATGCAAGAATCAAACTACTGTTTTGAGATTCTTCTTAAAACTTTCTTCTTACATTGAAGGAATAAAATCTTAATATTCAAAGGTTTTTCCCATACCCCAGTTTCTTACTCCACTTTATCCAGTGTTAATAAAAGCACACTTGTAGCTTTTCCAGAGGTTTTGTAACTGTGTAGGAACCATGGCTTTCTGAAGGGTTGGAGATCAGTTATCCAGCTTGGGCTAGAGTCCTAAAATTCCTCTACATGGCTTAATAATATTCTACACTGTACAAAGACATTGTTCTTGAGGAACCTTATTTTTAATCAGTTTAATTATTTTTGTCATAAATTTGTTAAAGGGAAGAATCAATTTTTTCTCAAAGGGTTGGTCTGGCATGGATATAATATTTAGACCATGCATCCATCCATCCATCCATTTTCTGTGCAACCTTATTCCTAGTGGAGTCGGGAGGTGCTGGTGCCTCTCCAGCTGAGCTCCAGGCGAGAGGCAGGGTTCACCCTGGACAGATCGCCAGTCTGTCGCAGGGCAACACAGAAACACACAGGACAAACAATCATGCACACACACACACTCACACCTAGGGAGACTTTAGAAAGACCAATTAACCTGACAGTCTTGTTTTTGGACTGTGGGAGGAATATTTAGTTATTATTAACTAAAGGTTAATAATAACCTTTAGTTTCATATTATGTGGAAACCACAAATAGTCAACTTTTTTTTTTTTCTGATGGTGTTTCCGTTTTCCAGATTGTTGAATAAACTAAATCATATAACATTGTCTTCACACAACATATTGTTTTTCTCTGTTTCTGCCAGGTGTTCAGTTTTATATCAATGAAATCCAACATATGATGTCCTTTTCCTACCTGCAGTTATCAGATATCCAGCCACAATGTTGTGCTCCATTTGGCTGAAAGCACTTTTTCCTCCGTAGGGTGCAACATCACCAGAACTGTTCACCTCTGAGACCATCCTCATCTTTTGATGTGTTTAAAAAAAATAATCAAAACCAGAACTAATAGTACAATCTAAAGAGCAGAACAGTAAAAAAACCCCAAAACTCTTGAGATCCTGTTTGAACAGAATAAAGAATCAGAGAGCTGGTGTTGGGAAACTAAAGCCTGTTTCTTGGTGGATTATTACATTCCAGCTCTGTTCTCTGGTGGGAGCCAGTATTTCGTACAAAAGTAAGGATTACTGCTCATGTGGCCTGAAATCTGGGTTCTGACACTGACGTTTCAACAAAAAATAACATTTTAATTGCGTCACACACCAAACATTACAGGAGATAATCTTGCATTGGACATGGATTCTTTAAAACCCATTTTAAGAAGTCTCACATTAACATAAACTGTTGGTGTGTTAATGTGAGACATAAATTTTTTGCCTAAGACAAAAATGTCTTATTTCATTTCATTTTATTTTATGTATACCATTATTCTAAGTATAATAGTATATTATATTTACTCAACTAAATGTAATTGAGTGAATGTAGCTATATACCACCTACTTTTTCCGATCAGAGATTATGATTACGATGATGATTAGAACAAACGTTTTTGTCAACAATCCCACTTTGGTTCTTTCCCAACATGTCTGGTCCATAAAGCAATGAACAACTGTTTAAAAGGGAGAAACTTGATTTACTTGATTTTCTGGTACAGAATAATTACATAAATCCTAAAGGAGGCATTTAGAGTGAATTAATAGTAATTGTTCTATTGTATATTTATTTTAATTGTTGAATAAGTGAATTGTGATGCGCTCTGCTGTTTTTATGGTAGCTCAGTCCTGATAAGACGTGAGACGTCATCCAAGACAGCAGGTGGCGCCGTAAGCATTACTCTATTAGGTAAGACCGAATGAGCATTTCCTCTCATTGACTCGCCAACTTCTCTCTGTTACGGAAGACGCTTGACATCGTGTCAAATAATAATAAAAAATATGCCGGGGATCTTGAGGACCGTTGCCAGCCGCGCCGCACCCGTCCTGCGGGGACACACAGTCACCCAGACGGCGAATATATACAGCAGGCCGCCAAAAGAGAAAATCGGCTTCGTTGTGAGTGTCTGAGCTAATGGCTAACTGCTAACCGCTAACGACTGTCCTTTTGGAGGTCATCGTCTGTCTCTCTAGTTATAGATATATTTATTTTTCAAAAACAATTTGATTTTGGTGACTGATAATGGATTCAGACAATCTTGTTTAGTCAAAATCGTTTTCGATTTATTTATCTGAGTTTGGCATGAAGGGATTTGAAGGTCTGCGTAGTTTTCCCTTTCACATTAAGAAACTGTTCAAAATAGATTTTTTTCCCTCTAATAATTATATAATCACTTTAAAGCTCAACTAATTTAAACAAAACTACGTTTAATGGCCTAATACTACACTGAATCTTAATGAGATGCAGTTAAAAAAAAAAGTTCATTTTAAGTCATTTAAAATGTTTAACTGGTTCTGAACACCAAAGTAATCTCCCTGAACATAAAAGTAAAAACCAAAGAAAAATTCATATTACTATTATTACGGTACCACTATTTTACTGTTCTTCTCTCACTAGCAGGTTTCTCCTTAGCAATTTGTTTATTTTAAATAAATCCCTCCATCTTTAGTATGAACAGCAGGACAGTTATGATACAATATACAGATACTGCTGCATCTGAATAGGGAGAGCAGTTTAACTTTTATTACAACTGCTCGGGAGGGACATAAAACAAGTTTTTCATGGAAAGGTTTCTGATCAGAGCTTTGTCTGCAGCTCCAAAGTGGCTCTGTTTTCTAACTACAGAATCATTAGGAAAAACAACTAACCTGTTTGAATCTTTATTTCAAGATTTGATTTGTTAACTTTATGGATTTTAGTTATTTAGTTTTCTTCAGTTTGTCTGGAAAGATCAGTAAATAGGTAATTCCTTATCTAGAGCAGGTATGGACAAGATGTGCTTAAAAATAATTTCTGTCTTCAGAAATTTGCTGTAATATTGAACAATTACTTTAAATAACCAACAGAGCCTTGATGACAGAACAGGATATTTTGCCTCACCAACTATAGGTTTGATGCAGAATTGTTTATTGCATCTAACTACCAATATGTTTAAACATTATAGAAGTTGGATAGCTTTAGCAGTGCTGATAGACAGTTCTATGACTACTGCTGAAATTACTTTTATGTTCTGTCAACTCCTCACATCAGGTTTGTGTTTCTTTATGACATATTCTCCTTCTTGAGATTAATTCCTTCTTTTCTTTTTGTTCAAACCGGGAAACATCCCTACATGATTCTCAGGCTTAAGAACAGTCATTGCCATACATTTTTGCCTCAGTTGCATTGAATTAAATTCAAAACACTCCTTACTGTTTTATATTTAAGATGAATTATAGTTCCAAAGATTTCTTCAGTGTCTGAAAATAAACAGCAAACCCTTCTTTGCCCCTTTAGCTTGAGGATTTATCAGTCACTTGTTTGTAGACCAGGAGGTCATATCTGCTCTCCTGCCTGTTAGCTCATTTTGATTGTATGGTTCTGCACTCATCTGCTGACTCATCAATTCATTTCTCTGTCTTTTGCCCAGGAATCATCAATTGCACTGACTATGTTGTCTGCAGCGATCCTTGGACCCTCTGGATGGGTCCTGGCTCACTTGGAGGACTACAAGAAGAAGGACTAAAGTGGAAATTCTTTCAGATGTGGTGCATCCAGCCTCCGTCTCATCCTGGGATCATCATCTTAATCTAATGCTGCAGAGATGTTTCACTTATCACTCCTCTACCTCTGTGACAATTTCTTGTCCCTGTTACAACTTCACTTATAATAATGGCTCCGATATGTCAATTATGTTACAATTTTGTTGTCAATCTTCCCTCATCAGGAGTGTTACAGAATTAAATTTTGACCTTAAATGATGCTGTTTGTCTATCATTTTTGTCAAGGTATTATAGATTTTTCTCACACATCTCAGGAACCTCAGAGGACTCTGAACTTGTTTTTAACACCAGCAGGTCTTAAGAGTACTGGATTTTTTTCAGTTAGTTTCTGGACATCTTTCATCACAACTTAAGGCATTTCTATACCAAAGTAGAGTAAGAAACTTTATATCAACTAGCAAGCTTATGCTAGCTTATATCAAGGTTTTTGACTCTACTTTGGTGTAGAGTCTACACCAAAAATCTGGGTTCAGAGGTAAAAACCTAGATTTTTGACACTCTACTTTGGTGTAGAGTCTACACCAAAGTAGAGGTTTTGGTTTAGCCTAGTAACAACCATTCCTTAATATAAGGACTAGTTGATACAGTCCTTATATCAACTAGGCATTTTTGTTGATATAAGGACTGTGATACACCCCAATACTTAACTCAAACTGAAAATGGGAATATTGCTAAAACATCCAATGATCAGCTCCAAAGTTATCAAAGTAGGCCTATGTGAACCAGAACTATTATGTAGAGGTTCCTGCAAAAATCCTATTGTAACAAAAGTTGACATCCATTGTAGATCTAGAGGCTACATACAGATTGTGAGGCAACTACCAAGCTCCAAGTTAAAAGATGGTGACTTCTTATAATCTGGTGTTGGGGTTAATTATGACATAGCAGAGATTATGGGTCAGTTTGCCAAGGAAGAGATTAGGTTAGAACAAGATAATGACTCCAAACACTCCAGTAAGTGAGAGCAGCAATAATATCTACCAGTCCAGTTTATTCATGTAGATATTTATTTCATAATGTTTCATTTTGAACATTTTGGTATTCCATATATTTAGATCTCAATGCAATTTTGAATACAGTTACATTTCTATGTGACAGAATAGCAGGAATGACCTATTAATATATCTGCTTAATACAAATTGTGTGCAAGAGAAATGCATAAGACCAGTAAAGAAGTGAAGTAATGTTTTTTGTATTATTATTAAAATTGACTCATGTTGATTTTATCTTTATCTTTACTCTGGGATGAGAGGTAATTGGTCAGCTAACCTGGCTGAATAAATAGTTCTCAGGAATTTAGATATATTGATCACTGGCTATTACATTAGAGGTAAATTACAATAGTTAGATAAAATAATGTTATCGGACTAAGAATCAGTGTTTTAAGATGAAAAAATACGTAATGAGTTTTCTCTAAAAATGAAAAATATGTAATTCATTCTGTTGCATGAAATGATTAGTGATTCATATATTTAATCTTAACAAACACTTGACAGCCTATAAGAAGGAACTACAAGTTATCAAGCAGATAATTAAAAAACAATATGTATATATTATTTTCCAGAGGCAATTTTAAGGCGATTATTAACCAACCATGTCACTGAATGTAGTCAGATAGAAGCAGAAAAAAATGGATAAAGTTTGTATAGGGTCGATAAAGAAATGCAGCATTGAAATCGTTCCTTGATCAGAGGTAAAAACCCAAAATTCAAACACATCTACCTTAAAATAAATTTGCAATGTTGTTGAGCTTTTTTTCTAAACACAGTAAAAATCCATATTTTATCGATCTTCATTCTCTTTTTTTTTTCTAATGTGTTTTGGTGCTTCAGATTTTTGACACTAACGGATTTCCATAGATTCCGCTTTAAAAACGCTCAACCCGCTGTTGGTCATGTGAGTTCGGAGGCTGCAGTCTGCTGTAGGCAGTTTGACTAGAACCAGCGGGATTTTGGCAGGTAACGCTGCTCTGTGCTGTTATTCTGGTGTTAAAAACAACTAGCGGCTGCAGAATAATGACGGGATGATTAACAACAGAGAATAAGTTAACGTTGAACAACTGCAGGAGTTTCTGTACCTGCTAGCGTTAGCTCCAATATCAGCTCTTGTTTATGGTTGTGACTTAAGTTTATTCCCTTTGTTCACTGAGGGCTTCATCAGCAGCATGAGGCTGGTGATTCTGGACGACTACGAACTGGCCAGCGAGTGGGCAGCTAAATACATCCGAAACAGGATCGTCGAGTTCAAACCTTCTGCAGACAGATACTTCACTTTGGGTTTACCCACAGGTACACAGACTCTCTGTGCTGCATCTCTCTCTCTGTCGCTGCATCTCTCTCTCTGTTTTTGTGATTTCACTGGCTCTGATGCGCCATGATTCTGGCTTCGTTTCAGGCAGCACTCCGTACGGCTGTTACCAGAAGTTAATAGAGTTCCACAGAAGTGGAGACCTTTCCTTTAAGTATGTGAAAACCTTCAACATGGATGAGTACGTAGGTGAGTGCAATTTACTGCGCCTGTCAGAACAGAAGCATTAGAGCTGGAAGTAGAGGAAAATGTGATGTTTTTCTTTTTTTCTGTACATGGCTATTCTAGTTCACTAAAAATAATGGAATGCACAGGCTGAGGTGTATGAAATGGTTGCGTTTGATTGAACCAGAAAACATGGACTGATCATCACCCAAAGCACACCAGCTCCTTTTGTGATGTATGCCTATGGCAACATCATGCTGTGGGGATGCTTGTTCATCAGAGGGAAAATGGCTGTGTCCTTAAAGAAAATTGGTTTAAGCAAAAACACTTGGGATTTGGGTGGAGATCTGCGTTCCAACAGGGCACCGTCTCTAAACATACAGCTTGAGCTATAAAGAGACGGTTTAAATTAAAGCATGGTTATGTGTTAGTTAGAATGACACTATCAGGCCTCAGAGTTAAATCCAATTAAGATTCCAGGATATGACCTGAAAATGGATGTTCACGGTAACACTGAATGACTTTGGGGAAATAAAAGGAAGGTGATATATGACGATGTTGGTGACAGCTCCTACATTTAAATAGCGATTGGTGTATTGAGATTCTAGGAGCAAACATAAAATGTATCTCAACACGGTTTTTACTGATGTTACATCTGGATAGAGCTGCTTTTTCAGCAAAAAACAAAAAAAAAACTACTTTGTTGTAGCTTCCTAATATTTAAACCAGAACATTTTAAAACAATTTCTTCTTCAGTAAGCAATAAGGAACGCGTATAATAATAGCAAAGATCACCTGAAATCTACTTGCATTCTTACCTAAATATTTTTTGCAGTTCAAGGAGTTTTTTGCATCTTTGATATTTAGTATTTTTCAACAATGATACATTTGCGAGACATTGTTCCATTCTTGCTCAGAATGGGCAGAAATCTGTCTCAATATGTGAATGAAAACTTCTAAGCAAATGATAGCATCTATATTATTTGGAGACTTAAACTTTTAGTAAAAAGTGGTTGGTAAAAAATGTAAATTGAAGTTATTTCAACCATTCTGATGTTTTCTCTTTTTTTTCCCTCTCTGTTTTGTTGCTTGGATTAAATCTGTTGTCTGAATAAAACCTTTTTGTAGGGATTTGTTTTTTTTTTCTCCACCTCCCCTCAGGCTGACAGAGACAAGAATTCTGCCGTCTCTGCTGCTGAATTGATTAGATCAAATTTCAGTCACAAAAGTTAGTGGGGGGAAAAATATATATATACAGCAAAATACAGGCGGATGAAGCAAAATTACCTGATGCTTGTTAAATTTTCTTTACTCCCTATTAATTTCTAAAATTTGTTTGCAAAAAATGCCAGATTTTTATGTGACCGTAACAAGTTAATTCTTGGAAGGAATCAAACGTGTTTTCCTCGAGTGTTCACCAGCTGGAGACTGTTGGTCTTCTCTTATTGACACAAATGTTTTCGTCCTACAGGTCTGCCTCGTGCTCATCCGGAAAGCTACCACTCCTACATGTGGAACAACTTCTTTAAGCACATCGACATCGATCCGGCCAACGCTCACATCCTAGATGGGAATGCAGAGGACCTAGAGGCTGAGTGCAATGCTTATGAAGAGAAGATCGCTGCGGCTGGAGGGATCGAGTTGTTTGTTGGAGGTGAAAATTAAAGATTTTTTTTATATTCATGGTTGTGCAGCCAATTTTTATTTTGATACAGATTGACTGATTACAATTTCTGCATTAAAAGCTGTAATGCAAAATAAAAATGGAGCAAGAAAATATTTTTTACAGTCTTTTGTTAGGTGAATTAGGAGCACAGGACAATATGCACATTATGCAAGACATCAGTTGTTGGAAAAACAAGACTTTTCAGCTTAAAAACAAAGCTGATATGACTTCAGTTAACTTTCAAAACTGTTCTTAAAACATTATATTAGCGGCCAATGCAACTCAACAATAGTCTTCTGTAAACCTTAAAAATCTAGATACCTGGATACTTAGCAGGGATTTCAATAAGGCTGCTGACATTTCCTAGTCCAACATATTTAACTGCCTGGCCAAAGTTGAAACATCTGAAAATGATTGACTTTGATTCTTCACTCAGTTACAATGTACACACCAAAGAGTAGTGTGTCTTGATTTTACTGAACAGATGGTAAAATCAGTTCAGTGATCATACAGACATAAACCATCTAAAGTAAAACTTCTTGTTTCTGAAAGTTCTTCTTGGGATTGTTTCATGTTGACATAAATCTCATCTCAGGAATTGGGCCTGACGGCCACATCGCCTTCAACGAACCCGGCTCCAGCCTCGTTTCCAGGACCAGAGTTAAAACTCTGGCGAAGGACACCATTGTGGCGAACGCTCGTTTCTTTGGCAATGATCTCTCCAAGGTTCCTACCATGGCTCTGACAGTGGGAGTGGGAACCGTAATGGACGCCAAGGAGGTCAGCCCCTTCTGACCCCCAGACATGGAAGCCCTGCCTCCTCCTCCTTGGGTTTTAATCTCCTGTTCTTCTTCAGGTAATGATTCTGATCACGGGAGCTCACAAAGCGTTCGCTCTGTACAAGGCCATTGAAGAGGGGGTGAACCACATGTGGACGGTGTCTGCCTTCCAGCAGCACCCACACACTATCTTTGTGTGCGACGAGGACGCCACGCTGGAACTCCGTGTTAAAACTGTGAAATACTTCAAAGGTATTGGTGCATCCTGTTTATGTAAATTGGGAGAATGATGTCTCTATATTGGATTTTTTCTGGGTTCTTGGAGAGCTTTGTATACAAGAATAAACCTTTCAGACTTCATTTTTAATTTAGAGAAGCTAAAATTAGATTATCTGATCTCTCCTTATAATTCAAACACTCCAGCCTTAATGTAACAAGTGCAATGGGGTAGTTTTTCTACATCACTCTAGAATAGAATATTTAAAATTTTAACAATATTGCAGAAGTGAAAGATTTTATGGAAACATTTTTAATGAGATTTAAACAGCATGTGCTGGTTAATATGTTTACAGTTTTACTGTAAAGTTATCCTGTAAAGAAACATGTCAACCATGTTTCCAGATTCAGTAAAATTATCGTTTTTTCATCTCTGCTACAGAACTATGCATCTAATATTTGTAATTTCTTTTTTGGCTGCAGGTTTAATGCATGTTCACAATCGACTGGTGGATCCAGTTCTCAGCATAAAAGAGCAGTGAAATAAAGAGAAGATGTCACTGGATTATTCATACTGGTAGAGTTACACAACCAAGGAGCTTTTATTGTTACTGCCAAATAGCTACATTTTGTTACTGAGAGCCAGCAGGTCAAGAGTGTTTGAAATCCAATTATGAAACTAGTTTTGTTCTGTGCATAGGAATTGAGGAATTAGAAAATTTTAAAATCTAAACACTCACTCTTTTTCGAGTTAACTTGTATAAAGACTTTTCTTTTTATCGTTCCAGCATTCCTTTCATGTTTTTCTCCTTAAGTCACCTTCTTCCTCGGGCTTTTTGCACACACTTGTATTGTAGTCACTTCTTCTTTTACAAAAGGAAAAAAAAGCAAGTTATTCATTTTTGTCTTTCAGAAATGCAAAATAAAAGATGTCTTTATTAAATCAAGAAAAAATGTATTTCTCGTAATACAATGCTTTGGCGTTTCTCTCTATATGTTGAGGAGCATTTAGAGTTTGTCCACAGGGGGCAGTAATCCAAAACTGCCCCCTGTAATTTATTTAATTAACTCAACCACTAAGCAAAATACTTAACGATTAACTGTACATTGGTGTTTTTTAAGCCTCTTTTTATAATTCCTTCAGATTTGCTGCTTACAGCTAATAAAACATAATGTTTAAAATTAAAATTTGACGTTCATATTTAATAGATGGGCTTTATTACAAGTTTAATACTTTCCAAAAGCTAATTTTCAGAAGGTTTCTTAATAGGCTTGATAGGAGGCTGCAATTCCTTTTACTGAGATGAAACTGCATGTCTTGTGTGATTTTGTGAGGCAGATTTTGTTTAACTCACTGATACATCACAAATGCTCAGTAACAGGTTTCAGACTAACAAAATGAAACATTAAAGCAGAGCTGGATTTATGCAGAATTTATTTCCATACGTTTAGCAAAGTTATAACATTAGCAAAGTTATTTTAATTTAGTTGAATACTTAAATTTCTTCTCACAAAGCAAATCTGATATCGGGACTGAACTGCCTGAAAACTAGCAAGGCATCGTGTGAAAGATCAGATGGCTAAGCAGAATGTGATGCAACAGTCTGAGTGACAAGCAAGTTTACAGATTGATGATCTATCTGCTACAATGGTGCTGTTCATTTCAGCAGCTTGTATCCAGAATACTGTTTTCTCTTTTGTGTCTAATTCATGATTTATGTTGTATGACCATAGCGTTTTGATAAAGGTGTCTGTCAAATTGCCAAGTGGGTTTTAAATCTGGAAATATCTTTAGATATCAATGTGGCCAGTGAACACGGTGCAACAATGAGCCATCCTCAAACACTGTTATAAACACCTCAGTGACTCAAACATTTTGTAATCACAAATATCAGTCTTGTGTTGTAGACTGAATATAATTTATGCAAATTGAAGACACCACAATGAGCATCTGTACTCATTAGTGTTGCACTGATTTATCATTATGAACACTAAGCTGAGCCCATAGAAAGAGTCGGTTTTCACTGACTGTTAATTATCAGCTGCAGCTTCATCAGGACAGAGACATCACATCAATAGCTGCTCTTTAAAAGAGCTCTCAGATCCAACATCTGTTGAATTCAACACAAAGCAAAGCACAGCTGAACCCGTTGCAGCGGTAAATGACTTTAGTCATCTTCGATGCAAAAATACCAGAAAAAACTAGTTATTTGTAATGATCTTTAATGGGGTTTTTTAAAAGAAAAGTCCAGCAGAGATTTTAGATCAATGTATCCTGCCTTCAAGACCACATGTATTTACCAGTATTGTCCATGAATCTTTCACTTAGAAAATTAAAATCTGCATTTAAGGTGTGGCTCAGAAATCTGAGGGCTTAACTTTTTAACTGACCTCAGTCAAAAAAGTTGGAGGATTTAGAGATCAAAATTGAAGCCTTTTAAGGTGCTGCTGAGAATCTTAGAGTGTTATATCTTATGCATAGAAGACATTTCTTATGATGATTTAATTTAGTATAAATTAAATTAATTATCAGCTTTGATGTTTAGAGCATAGCCTATAAAAACACCTGCAAAGAGAGTGACATATGACTTAAGTAAACATTTATCTTGAAAAGTTTGTTCCTAAGTACTTAGGACAGAAAGAACACAGTAGCTTCAAGAGTTTATTAGAAAAATACTAAACATGTATAGTGGTCAGAATTTGGGCCAGATGGAAATCTTTGTCTAGACTAGAATGACATTCATGCAGGAACCATCACTGACTTTTAAGACATTTGCAAGATGAATTGAACAATATCTGAAAGATGATGGCTTGGTTTTCTTAATGTCAGAACATTTTCTGTCTGTAATCCAGGTATAGACAGAATATTGACAAATGGATTTGAAATATTTAGTATCGTAGGTTTGTGTTGTTGTTAATAAATTGTAAATTAAAATTCTTGAACATTTCTACTTACTCTGAAGTTTCCTTTATTTGTCGAAACTAAAATAAGACTGGCTCCAAACACTAGATGGCAGCAGAGCATCATACCGTCATGGTGAGCTTTCTGCTCATTTGAATCTGGCAGCTGATGTTATGATGGAGAAGGGTGATCTGCGGCTTAGTGTTGGCTGTTTGAGATCAAATGAAACCCCATTCACATTACAAAGATCTCGCACTGTCACATTGAGTTTATCTTCAGGATGATCTCAGCTGTTTTGTGTTCTTGAAACATGCTTTCCAGACACTTGGTTCATCAGCTCAGAGTTTCTCTCAGAACCAGTCTGATCATAAACAGGCACCTTTTGCATTTTGTAATATCTGAAGCCCCTGCAGCTGATTAGAAATAACATGGATGAACATCAAATAATGACTGACTGTGCTGAGAGCTGATTAAATGTGATAGCAATATTCCTTGTTCATTGTTCATTTTCTCACATGGACCAGTCGGAGTCTGATGACTGAAATAGATCAATAAACCCGAAGGGATGTAAATAAACCCAAAACATCAGCAGGAGTTGATGTTAGCTGTCTCTCATTACTTTCTGGGCCAGTTTTCAGTCCATTACTTCTTACTGATGACCTTCTTTTCCTAACAGAACTTGATGTGATAATAATCAGCCCTTGTAACAGTGATTTATCAGCAGGTGCTGTTCTTGATGGTCCATCTGTGTAGCTTAGCCTCAGGATGAGACATTTAGTGTTCACTGCATGTTTCATTTAAAGTTAGCCCACATCATAGTTTTCTATGGGAAACTAAACACTGATTACCAAGATGAAGGGAACTTTGAATACTTCTTGCCAGAAATTAATCTGACTTCAATTGAATAAACCCCTGAAGAAAGAAATAATGATTCAACATGCAACTCCAATGATGCTTAAAAAGTTTAAAATAACTTAGACGGTGGATTCCAACGATTTGTTCTCCGAACATCAGATGTTGTCATGAGCATATGAAAGAAAGAAACCATGAGCCTAAGTGTCTGAAATGGGCTTTTTCTGCAGGGTTGATGGAGGAGGTCAGAGGAGAGTTTCTGCTCTATTAAAATGAGTCAGATGAAGGGGTTTGGATGTCTTCTTCATGTGCTATAAGGTGTCTCAGAACCTTTTGTGGCAGACCAGGAAGTAGTGTAAATTAAGTGAAAGAAAACATTTTTTACACAGAAAATCTGAATTGATTTGAATATTTTAATTCAGAAGATGTCAGGGGTTGTTAGATTGAAGAAAAAGTTTAAAGAACGGTTGTTATAAAACAATATTTCAAGTTTTGGACACCTCTTAGAGCTCTGTTTCGATTTTCATTTCAAACAAAAAAGTTATAATCCATTGATAATTTTCTTCTTACCTCAAAGCTGTGTTCTACCTTGACTTACCCAAACACATAAAATGCTTCACAAAATCTAAATGAGAAATGTCAAAGTTCCAATGTACAACTCCTTGTAGATCTGACACACATTTCTGTTATTTTTTTCTCAAACATCACTATTATCAAGCCTTGACAATCAGATCCAACATGCATATTACATCCTAATAAGTTTATTATGCCTGGAAATCATTTACATAATGAGCAAACTGATGAGCATCCAGGTTGATGAAGATTGGTTCATCTGAATGTGACTTTTCTGCTCCGTTTTATTCAAATGAGACCCTTTAAAATGGAAATTGGAAAGGAAAACAGTCTGTAAATATATTTAAGGCTAAATGAAAGTGAACAAATATGCATCCATCTTATTTTTAACCAAGCTCCTGAGAGGCGTGGAAACTTTGACGAGTCTAAGTGTGAATAATGGGAAGCTTCAGGAAGCCTCCTGAGGGGGAAAATTTAGTTTGATTAAACTCCAAGCAGTCAAAGATGACGACTTCTGACAGCTGGAGACTCGATTCAGTTCCAGGCAGCAGCTAAAGTGGCTCCTTGTGGGTTTCACGAGCTTTCTCAGAGGTCTGTCCTGCAGAACTAAATCTGCAGCAGATGTTCGGCTGATGCCCAACTGATATTTACTGGTGCATCAGGGGGAAACTGCGTCATTAGTTTATTTACACCAGAAATAATTAGTGTTCTCATACTTCAGGCACATACGTTGTACAATCCTGAATACCCTGGATGAGGCGGGGGAAATACACATAAAATAGAAGACAAGGTCTAGTTCTAAAATATTTGTAGCTGTTTTTGATATTTTCCTGTTAGGTTTCTAATATTCTCAGCTGTTTCTTCTGATGCCTTCCAGCTCTGTACAGCTGTCTCCCATCCAGAATCAGTGCGCCTGTCTTCAATCAGTAATCCATGTGCTAAGTTTTTTAGTTCCCTGGTTTGCAGCACTTCCTGCTGCTTGTCATTACAATTTTGGCTTTGGATTTGATCACTTTTAAGGTTGGACTAACATAAAACGTACAAAACTCTTTTAAGAGCATTTGTCAATATACTTTCTTGCATGAAAATCTTTAAAAAAGAAAGATCATGTCTCATCATGTCTGCTCATATAAAAAATACAACTGAGATTCATGAGACTTTCAAAAGTAGCCTTTGAGGATGCATTTTGACCCAGCTTGAGGCTCATGACTCACCATGGTTTCAGACAGAAAACAGATTTTCTTAATTTGATAAAATCGTATATGTTGAATGAATGTGTTGCTTCTTAATGGCGACACTGGGTGTGGATTTATTTGCATACATGACAAAGGGGGGACTCCAGGGGGGACTCATTGGTCACTTGCATGGAGGCAATTATTAAATTAGGTTTGTTTTCCATTTTTTTTATTTCAGCTTTTGAGTCTTTCTCTGCAAGTGTCTGAAATGCTTGGAAAAAACTGCTAAGAAATTCACTAAAGAAGCAGCTAGTTGGCCGTCAAGATTTTCAAGAAGTCAAATCTCGTAACGTGTGTTTTTGTAGAAAATGTTTATTTTCCATCAGCTTAACAATTTTTATTGTTGTGCTTTAATATTTTTACTTAAAAGTATATTTCTTCAGTGTTTACATATCAAATATTATAGTCAATGAGGATTTTAAAAAGCAACAGAAAATTTATTCTGGATGGATGCTTTAGTCAACCCTGGTGTTTCAGAAGATGGTTTTTATTCATCTTTTAATTCCAGAGTTCCAGATGTTCAATTTTCAAGTTATAAAATGGGCATAAATTGCTGTTTTCTATTAGAAAATCTGTATTTTTACATACATCATTTGATATAGCACAACTCTTTAGGTCTGGCCTCAGTTTAAAATAATGTATTGATATGAGCCCTCTATTATTCTCTTTTTTTTTTTTTGAGAAGAGTTGTTTTGTTGCACTCTCTGTCTTCAAATTAGCCATGATCTTTATTTTAAACATAAACTCATTTTTGATTTGTAAAGCATCTCTTTCATGACGCAGATCCACGCTGCGTTTTCACTTCTGAGAAAAAAAAAGCCTTTGAATCTCTAAGATTATTTCTGTAAAACCAATTTTATCCAAACCAATATTTTT